GGGGGCTGCGGCGGGGGCCCCGCGGCCGAGGCGCGAGGCTGGCGGGGCCGGCGGGGCCGGGGTCAGCGCTCCAAGGCTGGGGCGCGCGGCTGCAGTGAGAACGCGTCACGGCCGCTCCGTCTGGGCGCCCGCCGGCTCATGTCTCCTCCTCCGTGTCTCTCCGGCCGTGCGCATCGCCGCCTCCCACCGCTGGCGGCGGCCCGGGCGTTTTCTACGCGCGGGCGGCGAGGGGGCGGGGGGCCGGGGGCGGGCCCGGGCCCGCGCCGGCACAATGAGGATGCGGGGCCCGGGGGCTCCCCCCTCGGGGCGCGGCCGGACGGGCGCTCAGAGCCGCTGGGTGCGCCGCGCCCACATCAAAGCCGGCCCTGCTTGCTTGCCTGCCTGCCGCGGCCTCTCCACTGCCTCCTCCTTCTTCTGGCGGCTCAGGGCTGGAGGGGAGGCACTCAGACTGTCTGCGATGGGACTGGCCGTTCAGCAGGGCAGAACCCACGAGGCTGGAGCTGGTGAGCGCTGGGAGCCGTCGGAGCTCTGTGTCACAACGCTAATATTGGCCGAATGGAGCAGGCGGGGTTCCCAAAGAATGCAATTAGGTGCAGAGCGTCCTGCCTCCCTCACATTTGCTGTTCGCACTCATATCCACTAGTGCTCGGAATCAGGGCGAGGACAGGCGAGGCCCACCAGCTGGAGTGGCTCAACTAAAAGGAGTCGCGTTTACCCTCGCCCTGAGGCCAACGCAAGATAATCCCTCACACCCTCCCCACTATGGGATGTCTACACTAAGTGAAGCCTTCTCTTCTGTTCCTGCCATGGGAGATGGAAAGGGCTCAGGAGAGTCTCTCTCCCTTCCCCCGCTCTGGGACTCTAAGGTCGGTTCTAGGGATTCCAGCTGCGTTCTCTAGTAGGTGACCCGGTTTTTGGAAGCACACGGCTACCACCTAGCGGTTCGAAAGTGCTGCTGTAACCCCAGCGCTGACGGGCTATATGCCTGAGTAGCCAGGACTCTGGTCAGCGCTCACTCCAGGCCCTCTTTGGTTCGCACACTAAGCAGCTTGTTTTCCTGCCCTTGATCACCAACCCTGAACTTTTTCTGTCCATTAAGCCCAAAACGTAGATATTGTCATAGCACTGCCTCATTCTGTCTAGAGCCTGGGTCAGCGAAACTTTGGGCTGATGCTAAGGCAAACAGGTCACAGTGGGCAAGAAACTAAAGAACAAGCTCAAAATGCAAAACTCAGGAATTCAGATTATTTGGTTTAAAACCTGGTCAGTAGCTGTGGTTGCTATTGCCCGTTCTCTGGAGCATACAGTAGAGAGGCTGCTCAGTGGTGTTACTGCTGAAGTATCAGACCTGCCTGTCAGAAACTTTCAGTTCCTTTTCAAAGCAGAGGCTAATGAGACAGTATTAAAAACAAATCCTGAGCCCTGCAGTGGTGGCACAGGCCTTTAATCCCAGCACTCCCAGGAAGCAGAGGCAGGCAGATTTCTAAAAGTTCAAGTTCCAGGACAGCCAAGGATACACAGAGAAACCCTGGGAGGAGGTAGGGGATGGATGACATGGGACACCGCACTACACAAATCCTAAAAACCTTTGCAAAAGCTTGTGCTTTGAGATAGTTCTTGCGTGAGGATAGATTCATTTTATGTAGATGCATTCTCTAGACAGCCAGAACTTTGCAAAGTTATTAGTAACTTCCTAAATTTGGAGATTAATGAACCAACCAATCCTGAAGACAGTAAAATGACAAACCACAAATAGTAATGAACTCAAATGCCTTTGGTCTTGCTTTACAGTCTCTCAAAAGTGCGTGGTGTGCATACACACAACACACCCTGGGAGGTGATGTACAGGTTTTATCTTCTGGCTAAGCATTCCTTCCTATCTGCATTCTATTTCCAGTTTTCATTAGTTTTGCAATGGTTAACTATTGTCCTAACCTACAATGTTTTGATGGCCTCATTCATCTCTCAAGACAGTCCCAAACCCCCAAAATCCAGTGGCATTCTGAACAGTCCCAGGCAATGTAGCTCAGTGGAGACCCCACAGTTCAATTCCCAACACCCCCTTAAAGTGGGTAAAAGCATACAGGTCTGTAATATAATCCCTGTCATTTCAGAGGTAGAAGCTGCAGATCACTCCAGGCTTATACTTGGGCTCAGCCATTGGGTGTGGTACATGAGATGTCTCAGAACAAAAGGGGGTGGAGACTGTAGAGCTGGCTCAGCGGGTTAAGTGCTTAGGGTATTTGCACCTGTGGTCTTAGACTTGAGTGTTCTTTCTTGCCTACAAAATACAGCGGCTGAATATACAATGAGAACTGGTACATACTGAAGTCAACCAAAGATTTCAGCTGTCAATAACCTTAATTCCAGTCTTTTCATATCACTCAACCTCATAGACAAGATCATTCTACAGTTGAGGCAAAATGTTGACTTCAAACATAGCCACTTAGATCATTCCTTCTCAATTACACACCCTGAAGCCCAGTTTCACAATAAGCATACGCGTCAAAGATGTTCAAGATGGTACTTAACGGTGCTCATTTGATAACTTACTCCACTGCTGTTTGAGATCCTACCTTATTGTCTGTCCTAGTTGAGACAAGGTACCTAGCTTAAAATAGGGGAAAGGGGTATATGGCAGTGAGATTCTGACTCCATGGAGTCCCTGAAACCCATGTAAAGGCAAGAGAACTTGTCTTCAGACTTCCACATGTAGGTTAACAATCATGCATGTGCAAGACACACAAGCATACCCCAAACATAAATAAATCCACTTTTCCTGGGGAAGCTGAATAAGAGATAGGTTTTTCTTTTTTAAACCAGTATCCTGAAGGGGGTGAGATGGAAGTTATAAACTGCAGAACGGTAGTCCAAAGACCTTAGTAACGTAGGTTTTGAGACCAAAGGTAGAGAAAGCAGTGTAATGGTTTTGGGTGACCAGACCGCACTAAAGAGCAGAACCAGTACCTTGCAGGCAGGAGGCTTTTATAAGGAATCGTGTAGTGAATAATCTTTGAGGGATTATATTGAGTTTAATGCATCAGTTGACAAACCCACCTATGTACAAACATCACCGCCAACATGGTCCATTAGGACAAGATCCTTTCTTTCCATTCCACCAGTGGAATCCTGTTCTAGTTATCTGCTGCTATATTTATTTGATCACTAAGAGCTGAAACTCAAGGTCAGAAACCAAGTACTACTTCTGATATGTATAGAATAAAATGGAGGACTAGAGCTGAAGTAATGATGGTACACATGAGGAAACTAGGTCGGATGCTCAGTACACAACAAAAAAACAGCAGCACAAGAAGTCTAGCCTGTTCAGGTCTCCAGTATGTGGTGGTCCTGCACCTGCACTCTATTCCTTACTCTAATAAAGCTACACACCTTTGTAAGTACAATTATCAACGGTGTACACAATAAAATGTTAAGTCCTGCTTCACTTATCCCCAAGCACTTGTAGAACTGTGGACACAGTATATGGTATTTAAATGACTGTTCTTATTAACAAAGCAAACAGACAACCTGAATGGGAACATTCCTGGAGTCTTGCATAGTATATAGACAAAGATAAAACGCATCCTGCTCAAGCCCCTATACCTATTGCTGGTGCCTCACAAAGCACTAGCAATGGCATTATGTGGACATGCGCATCTAGCAGGTGAGATTCAACCTGTACTCCAGCCAACGCTGCTTTACCTGAGGCTCTATAGTTCTCGCATAGAGAACTATACACACTGCACAAATGGAAGTTGCAGATGCAGTCATCCACCCCAATATGCTGAGACACAGAAATCTTCGATGTTTTATATTCTATGTACTTCAATCTTAAACCCGAAGTTAGCAAACAAGTTTTGTGTGGAACTTTTAAGGATGGAACTTTGTCAACCAAACTGCTTTCATTCAACAAGATGGAAACAAATTATGTTCCTTTCACCCAGTGAATTTTAGACAAAAGCAGCTTCACATTCATGTTAACACCTCAGACCTCTCCCCTTCCACTAATACTTCAAAAGGTAAATGTTAACTCCACTTCTGAAATTATCAGCACTAATTGCCTACCATACTCTGTATGAGGCACTACCTGAAACTGGTGACTGGCCCACATTAAATGTAAGAATGTTTTCCTATCCTTCCTCAGCATGTACTTAACATCTTTAGATGATAGTGAGAAAATACTTTACTAGAGTTTCATCCTGGTAACTCAAGTTTGGCTTGCAATTAGGATAGTTCCGGGCTTCTGAAATGCCTCAAACATACTTTTACCATTTGTATTTCTAAAATGGTATTCTCCATATTGATAATCACCCTATAATTTACAAATATTCAGCCAAGTATCCTTCATGCAGAAATCAAGCAATTCATGAAAATTTTACTTTAATCTTCATTGTATGTTTTTTAAAAAATGTCATGATTGTGTGCCTGTTGTGTACCTGTATGTTTAAAATTTACCCAGTAAAAGGTTGAGAAACAATTCTTGACTGAAAGTTATAAAATGTTCAAATTTAAAATGATTTGGAATAGACAAAACAGTACTATACTTGACCTTCTGGATAACTTCAGTCTCTCAATTACCAGCCAGATTTAGATACTCAAAACAACCATCCATTTACAGAGTTAAAAATAAAATTAAGAAAATTCCCAGAACTGATTACTTACAATTGTTGAATTGTAGAGAAACAGATCATACAGAAAACACACTTAAAACCAGCAAGACTAAAATGGAGGGTATACTGAAAATCCTCCTAAAGACACTGAATTTTGTTTAAGTACATAAGGACTCTCCCATGCATTGTGACAATACTGTGTTAATATACCACAGCAAACCAGGTAAGTCACAATGGTTAGGTCCAACTTAGATCATCAGGTTAATGGGTATTAGTCCCTAAACGTCCATGACTAAACTTACATGGACCAAAACTGATCAGGAATAGTTGGGGAGGCATGAATGATTTGAGGTCACTGAAATTTTTAACTTCAAAGTATGAACAGTTAAATAAGCAAATAGAAACAGTGTTACTTTATTAAAATACTGAGTTTATTTCACATGTATATTTGTCTCCCTACCATTTCCACATCTGACCACCACTATTACTATGTCCTATCATAACATTCCATACATACTTAAAACCAAGTAAAGGGTGGAGTTCCATCCTTGAAAACTAAACAGGCATTTTAGACAACACATTCTTGGCAATGGAACCTGGACAACATTTATCAAACACAGTAGGGAAAGTTCTCACTTTGCATTATAAAAAGGACAGCCGGATATATCAACTGTTACAGAAATTAAGTAAGATGGAATTATTTCAAACTGTTTAAACCATTTTCTTAAAGAGACTTTCTCCACTGCCAGAGATCTTGAATAGCCTGTAAAGAGAAAAAATGGTAAAGAATTGTAACTATACAAATCAATACTTCATCGGTTCACAATTTTTCATTCCACCAACTCCACTATAGCATAAGATCCCTTAACTCAGTAAGCATAAAAACGGAGTTAGCTACCTACACAATGTTGCCTCAGCCTGTGGCTCAACACTTTAGTCTTCAGAATTTAAGGAATGTTTAAATACAAATGGTTAATTACCCCCAATTTTTCTAACTTAATGTAAAAAGGTTAAGTATAGAAACCTATTAGAAACTTGGTATTGATGAAATCTATTAAAGGGTCTGTGCAAGATCTAACAACCAGTTTAACTGCTTTATCTTTCCCACTTCTAGCTTCGATTTAAAATAAAGCTGAAATTCATGCCACTGGGAAGACACTGGCAGCGCTTTGCCTTTGCATGGTCCAAGTGAATTCTAGCACCATAAAAATAAACATCTTCTCTGGTATTTACATAAAACCTCAGTTGTAAGGGCTTTAAGAAGCTACCTCCAAATTTAACCCATCTAGTATCTGGAGAAGATACTATCACTCCCAAGAGAGCAAGTTTCAGACTGTAAAGCAGCCAAATGGAGCAAAGGAAAACCACAGCCTATTTTCTCAGCCAACACACTACCAAGAGTAAAACTAGGTTCAGTAACCAAGAGATAATTTAACAACTATTTAAAAGCTGGGAAAAATGTGTACTAAAAAAATTATCTGCTCTGTCTGCCAATTAAATTCTTTCCATGTATTTAAGAACTGTCTGTGGTTAGGAACCTTTTACACACAGCCAACAATTTAGGAGACTAAAAGTTTAAAAAAAAAAATCGTAAATCACAATGAAAAGTTTGGTGTTTTGTTATGTCCACAGGAAATTCAGTTACCTCCTGGTCAGTCATCCGGAAGCAATTCTTCACATAATTAATGAACTTGGCTTCCACTTTGGGAAGAGAACCACCCTATTGAGGAAAAAAAGAATCATTACGGATGAGCATAGAAATTGAGATCTCATTAGAAAATTCCCAGATTTGCATGCCATTACATGAACACGTCATTCCTTGTCCCTTCAACTTTAAACACAATGTCATAATTGGGGCCCAGAAAGAACCTAAGATAGCACATTTTGACTATGGTCTTTCAATTGCTGAAAGTCCAACTCAAGCTACAGGTAATTCTACAGGAATACAGTCAATTTGGGTGCCTAACCATATTATGCAATATTTTAGTTTTATCACCCTCTATCACCCAAAACTAAACTCAATCCAATCTGTTAATCAAGAACTTTAAGTGTTTCCCAAGAAAGAACCTTGGATAGCACACCATTTACCTAGAAACAAATTGAAGTTAATAGTAGCTAATCTCTTAACTATCTTAAATAGCACAAATTTGGCATTTGTTTCAAATTATGAATATAGGCAAATAACACACTATCACCAATACCTAAGGTTTTGTCATCAAAATTCCTAAGACTAGTTACTGCCTAAATACCTTAATTTATCAGTATAAAAATAAGTACCACTACACTACAAATTATCATCCCGTGTTTCATTTCATTAAATGCATCATTTGGTTAACCAAATTTTTAGCTTTTTGCATTGTTTTATATGTTTAGCCAAGAGTAAGGCTTCCTTCCAAATGTAAGAAACAATTGCCTCCATCACCTAGAAAGTAAGTCACTACAGTAATTTTAAAATATTGTCACATACATTCTTATTTGATTCATTCAAAAATTTATTGAGCAGCTAAGGATACAAAGGTATTAAAACATGGTCAGAGATGAGGCATATGCACAAGTGTAGAAAGCAGTAAAGTTCTCTGCATCACAAGAGTGAAAGAAAAATGCTTTAGGAAAATAAGAGATTGCTTCCAGCGTGCAAGGGGGGAATGGATGGCCAATCAGGAAAGGGGATTGAGATTAAAATAGAAGACTTCAGTCTGGATTGTTGATGGTACTCAGTATGGACTATATTTGTTTCTCCTTTTCCTCTTTCCCCATCTTTGGGCTTAATTTACCAGTAGTGCCCAGGACTGTTCAATGCGCCTGCAATTAAACCAAGGAGATACGACCACATTAAAATGGGGGGGAGGGGCACCATTTTAGCAGTGTATGCAAGGAATAAATAAATCAGTGAGTGACACCAGGAAAGCTAAAGTTCAGTGTAAATATTGTATGTGCTGGCACTAAAGTGCTAATTTCCAATCCACTGGTGGCTGCACAAAGGAAGAAAATCTTCTGAAGCCATGTGAGGTCTACGGGACAGGAAAAACATGGAAAAGGGCAATTTTTCCTTATCATTCCACATTTATTCCTAATAACTAGCATGTTAGAATCACATTTGGGAGAATTTTAATTCTCAAAAAAACATTTGAACTGATTATCCCATTTTTTTACATAAAGTTTTAGCAGCAGCCAAACAGCAAAAGATAAATATTTAAGACTAGATATAAGCCTATTAGCCACATACAAATTCCAGGTCATAGACTCAGGATGTTTTGGTATAGAGGGCACAGAAATTACTCATGTTGCTGGGAAATACTTAAAGGTGATCCTTTTTTTTTCTTAGTTATAATCTCAAGCAGCCAAAGTCTTAAAGTCTTTTCCAGCTGTTTTCCAGCTGAAAACCCAAACGCCCTCTGCTGGTTCTACAGCACAACCCCAGAAAAGGTCATGTTCTCACTTATGTTTTAAGTTAGAAGATCAGCATGCATCCTTGTACTTTTTATTCTAGTAAAACAGTTCATATATGGAAAAGATTATGAATACACCTATTTCTATAATCTACTTTTTACCCAACCACCCATACAAAGTGGGGAAAAAGACCAATCCATTCAAAGGTAATTTTACTCACTTTTTCTATACTTGCTTGCATTTTTGCCTTAATGTCTTCTACAGAACTAGGTCCTTTTGGTGTTTTAGGAGTTTTTTCCTGTTTTTTGAAAGACTCTTGACCCTGGAAAAAGTTTAAAGGTATAGTTCTTATCAAGTAACAATTATCATGATGCCTCAATTATTCTTACAATCCTTTATAGATGAAGTATCGAAAAGTTGCTAATATAATCCTTATATATGCTCCTTATGAGCTGCCTGTTTCTTCTTTATGGTTCTTAGTTGTTCTTTTGCAGAGTTGCCAGCTTAAGTCATGCCGGGATCAAGAAAAATGGGCCTTGGTGGTTCGTGTTACTGGAGTTGTATCCATACCAGTGGATGTCCACACGCTCCAAAAGAGAATTTGACATTGCTGCTGCCATTGTTGCTGTTATAGCAATGGCGGCCACCGCTGCTACTGTTTCTGGGATTACCATTTCATAATTGCTTACTACAGCTAGCACAGTGGAGACCCTGGCAGCAAAAGTAGCTAACAGTTTCTTTCATTCTATTGGGCATGATAAATTTAATAGTTACATACATCTCGATTGGCTTTGAAAATTATAAATTTATAAACTCAAGTTCCATTTGCTTTTGGGATACCATCTTTCAAGGACTCCAATTTGCAGTAAGCCTCGTTAAGGAAGGGAATGGCTCAGTTGCCTTTAGCCTACTGGCTATGGGTGGGATAGGACCTCTGTTGGTCTTTTCTGTATGGAACACACAGATTGCAAGCCCAGTACCACTTTGAGATCTTTGGCAGCAGTTAACTCTGCAACTCACACACGATTGAGCCTGTATGATAATGAGTATTCAGAGACGGGTAATGCCTGGGGGCGCTCACCAACCTAAGACAGAGCGCCTGTGTGGCCTGGGCAGGAATCTCCATGATGGGTAAGGTGAACTGCTGACATCCCAAGCAATAGAAGTCAGAAGCTCATTTTTTAGTAAAAGGGGGACCTGTAGGGTCCTGGCCTGTTTTGGGCAACTGTTGCCTTGCTTGCTGACCTTGACCTCCTCCCTATGCTAATTCCCTCCCAAGTTCCACCCTCCTGAATGCTTAAGGGAAGTTCCTTGTCTGTGTATCCTGCATAATGGGTGTTAACGCTCAGAGGTTAAGAGCACTGACTGCTCTTCCAGAGGTCCTGAGTTCAATTCCCAGCAACCACATGGTGGCTCACAACCATCTGTAATGAGATCTGGGTGCCCTCTTCTGGCACGTAGGCATATATGCAGGCAGAACACTGTATACATAATAAATAAATCTTTAAAAAAAAATAAAATAAAAAATGTAATTATTGAATGAAAAAAAAAAACCCTTATATATAACTTCATATAATTTTGTGATAATTATAAGATTGTCCCTAGCCAGGCTATCTCACACCTTTATTCTCATCCTTTGAAAGGCTGAGGGATGATTGTAGCTACTCAAAAAGCCTGTCATGACTCTCAGAAAACCAAAATGATCATTCTTTTTAAAAAAAAAAAAATCTAATGTCAGGAATGATGCCTCAAGGTTAGTGTAAAGGCACTTGCTGACAAACCTGATAAGCATGTTTTTTAACAGTCCTGGCTGTCCTGGAATACTTTAGACCGGCCTGCGTCTTCCTTCTGAGTGTTTAAAAAAACACATGTCACCACCATCTGGCTTTGGAGGTGGGGGGCCTGACAAGGATCTTTAAGAGAATCAACTCCTGTGTGTTGGCCTGAATTATAAAACAAATGCAGTGGGCATATGTATGCACACAAGCAAAAAAAATGAAATTATAAATTCAAAGCTCAGAATTCAATAGCTCTACAAAATGAAGCAAGAGCTCACTATTGATGCTTAGAGCCCACCCTAGAACATATTCTTCAGAGTTAAGTATTGGAGAATTTTAGCACTGCACTATGAAGCCAGGGTTAAGTTCCTCAAGCACCTACCAAATTTTAGGCAGACTAGTTTCTTATACAGTAATGCTATCTGTTTTGTTTCCTGTGAACTTACCTTTGATCTTGGTGTTGATGGTTTTAAGTCTTTTCCATTTTGGTTTGATTTTTGTGCATTTTTGGCTGGGGTATCTCGTACAGACTGCAATTAGAGAATGGCCTTAATCAGTATGGCCCCCTCCAGCAAAGACAACAGTGTCCTAAACTAGTATATGCAATGAATTGTTGGAAAGATACTTTCTCACTTTCAAACTTTTTAAGTCTATTTATTTCAGACCAATTTTTAATATGAAACCACCAAGTCAGTTTTCACTACTAGCACTAAGAAATTCCAAGCTCTTTTATTGTTAACTATATACCTGACACCTCAACCTCATGGCATGTTATGTACTCACTTTCTTCACTGGAACTTTTTCTTCAGTTTCCTCATCATCAAAATCATCATCATCATCACTACAAATAAACAATCAAGACATTTAGAACATTTGGTCAATTTGACAAAAGAAGCTACCTTCAGCACCAGTTTTTAATAGACAAGTCAAACAGCACCAGTATTTGAATAGATTAACGAAGTGTTTATTTAGGGAGCACCTTTAATCAAAGCACTCAGGAGGCAGAGGTAGGCAATCTTGAGTTGGAGGCCAGCCTGTAGCTAGGGCTAGAGACCCTTGTCTGGAAAATCCAAAAATATTTAAGAATCTAACAAAACAATGTTACTCATCGAGAGATGGTTCAGCAGTTAAGAGACCACTAGCTGCTCTTCCAGAGTACTTAGGTTCAATTCCCAGCACCCACATGCCAGTTCTTAGCTGGCTAACTGCAGTTTCAGGGGATCTAACACCTTCACTTATATGTAAACAAGAATGCACATGAAATAAAAATCCAACCAATTATTAAGCAAAATTCAAGTACTCAAAAGGATAGTATTTTACTCCTAATACTAGTTACTAAGAGTTATAAAATGTTGGTTTTGCTGTAGTTGTAAATAGCTCAACAACAGCCGGGCGGTGGTGGCGCACGCCTTTAATCCCAGCACTCGGGAGGCAGAGCCAGGCGGATCTCTGTGAGTTTGAGGCCAGCCTGGTCTCCAAAGTGAGTTCCAGGAAAGGCGCAAAGCTACACAGAGAAACCGTCTCGAAAAACCAAAAAAAAAAAAAAAAAAATAGCTCAACAACAACATCAGTGGAGTTAATACTGCTAAAATGGCAACACTCCTCAGACATAAATTATTCATTTGTAGTTATTGGCCCTAAAAAATTCAGATATTCAAGGAACCTCAGTAGAAAAGAATTATCTGCACAAGGAAAAACTAAAGAGTTTTTCTTTCATACTTGGTCTCAATAAGGAATAAGCTACAAAACTTGAAAGGTAATTTTCATTAACAGTAAACTTGGTAAGTTTCTACGTTTTGCATCAAATAAAGAAACCAAGCTTTAGGGAGCACCTTTAATCAACGAATTAACTTGTTTGATAGCCCCCTAACAAGAGCAAAGATGCTTGTATCTAATTGTGCAAGGAATAAAAATATGGTCAGTAAACATGAGATGATCATTTTAGTCATCTAGGGAATGCAAACCAAACATGAAGACAGTACTTCAAGCTACTCTTTAAGTACAACAGCATATCCCCAAGATTTCTCATCCCATGAAAGTTAAGAGTACAAGAATCAATTTTTGTAAAAATCAGTGAAGCCAGGCAAATGAAACCATCTTCTGTTATGTGAATTATTACTTTGAAATGGCTAGTCTACAAAATTCACAAGTAGCTAACTACAGCTTAAGGAAGAGTAAAGGCTGTGGTGGTGCACCTTTCACCTCAGCACTTGGGAGGCAGAGGCAGGTGGATCTGAGTTCATGGCCAGCCTGGTCCACAATGAGACCCAGGACAGCCAGGACCACACAACAGTGAAATGCTGGTGTGGGAGAATAAATGCAGGGAATACAAATATGCAATAAAAATTTTAAATCTGTCCTGAATCTACCACTGTTGTCTTAATGCTTCTCCTTGGGACAATCAAAGCTTTCCTCTGCTTTTACACTTCTTCATTCCAATGTGTGTGCAGTGTTTGGCAAGACTTATTGGCTCTTCCTAAAGATATATGTGCCATTAGAATTAAGCTGCCAGATTGCAATTAACAGAACAATCCACCTCCAACTACTTGAGTGTTATTTAACATCTCAAAAAAGGAGATGCTTCTCACTTTCACAATCTAGATCTGAGATTATGATCTGGATCCACATGGTACTTGCTATAAGAGGAATACTAAGTACAAAATATTCTTCAGACACAGTATGCTTTTTAAAATGGAGTGAAATATGGGGCTGGAGAGATGGCTCAGAGGTTAAGAGCACTGACTGCTCTTCCAGAGAGGTCCAGAGTTCAATTCCCAGCAATCACATGGTGGCTCACAACCATCTGTAATGAGATCTGGTGCCCTCTTCTGGCGTGCAGACATACATACAAACAGAACACTGTATACATAATAAATAAATCTAAAAAAAATAAAATAAAATGGAGTGAATCACATTACTAGGTAAGACCATCTAAGTACCCATTAAGTATATATATTAAGTACACAAAGTTAATTCGGATCTGAGTTTAATCCACAAGTTCTACCAACGGTGGCCACAGATTTTCCACACTAGTCTCATTAAATGGAAGCATGAACTTCATGTAATAACTACCTTCTCAGTAGTGGGGGAAATTGTCTTGTTAGAATTTATACCATGTCAAAGTCACATGCTAAACCCAATGTTTTTGGTGATTTTTTAATACTATTTTTAGTATAAAACTGGCTTTAGTTTTAATCCCAGCACTCAGGAGGCAGAGCCAGGCGGATCAGAAGTTCAAGGCCAGCCTGGTCTACAGAGCGTGATCCAGGACAGGCACCAAAACTACACAGAGAAACCCTTTGGGGGGGAAAGACACAGGACATTGGCTTCAGAATCTAACGTTGAAATACTTTCTGTTACCAGAAACAATGCCAATTTCCATAAACTGAGTTATCTTTTCAGCTATTCTTAACCATGTAATTTCATACAAGGTATTTAGGTAATGTCATGCATTATCTAAAAATGATTTATTCCAAGTATTTCATACTTATGAAAGTTATCACTATCCAGTATCATCCCATGAGACCACTGATATATCTATCATCCATTACCCAGCTCACTAGTTTATTTCAAGACCATCCCCCAAGTTTGTTTTCCTGGAACAGTTCTTAATCCTCGTACATAATATTCTTTCAGTAAATATACATGACCAATCCCAGAACTCCTAAGGATATATTCAAAGATAACAAATTGTCATGTTAAGACATTTCATATCTGTTTACTGATACCACTTGATCATAGTGAAACTTATTTTAACCATATTTTAAACTCAAGTAAAAAATAAAAAATCAATGTCCCATTTATAATAGCCTGTCATAAGGAAAGTCACAGGCAAAATCCTTTACAGGCACAGGAAATCTTTACCTTCAAAACATATAATCACTTTTACAAGAGTCTACAGGCAAATCAATTTCTAAAAGCCTTTGTATATGTAATGTCAAGTTTCTAAAATACTACTTTATACTTACTCTTCATCATCCTCATCATCTTCGTCGTCATCCTCATCATCCTCGTCAAGTTTTACTTTTTTCTTAAAGAAAAAGAGATATTTATGAGCAAGAGCCATTCCTTAGTGGTTAACCAAACTGAAAGCCAGAACACATGATTTCTAACTTAAAAAAAAAATCTTTTTACCTGCGGAACCTTGTTACCACCCCCGGGAGCAGATCGTTTTCCAGACATACTTAAGAGTTTTACATCTTCCTCATCTTCATCTTCTGACTCTGCATCTTCCTCTACAGCTAAAATAAAATTAGATATACTTTTCAGAACTTAACAGTAGATAATACGTGGTATTTTTTTTCCAGTAATTTATGTGTATCGGTGTGAGGATGTCAGATGCCCTGAAACTGGAGTTACAGACAGTTGTGAGCTGCCATGTGGATGCTGGGAACTGAACCGGGGTCCTCTGGAAGGGGTCCTCTAGAAGAACAGCCAATGGTTGTAACCGCTGAGCCATCTCTCCAGCCCCAACATGAAAAAATTCCATTAAGGGTAGCAAATGAGGATCAGAAACTAAAAGAATAAATGTTCACTGCAGTTTTTTTTTTTTTTTTGGTTTTTCGAGACAGGGTTTCTCTGTGTAGCTTTGCGCCTTTCCTGGGACTCACTTGGTAGCCCAGGCTGGCCTCGAACTCACAGAGATCCACCTGGCTCTGCCTCCCGAGTGCTGGGATTAAAGGCGTGCGCCACCACCGCCCAGCTCACTTCAGTTTTAATAAGCAAAAATCAGACCTTTCTAAACACACATTACCAGATTCCCGTTTTGGCATAAGACAACTAGAACTAAATAAAGCATGCTTTACAAAGTCCAAACTGGAGATCTTGGAAGTCAGCCTAACTGGTAATAAGGCCTTTGTGGCTAAACCTGATCAGTGTTCAATCCCCAGGATCCAGGTGGTAGTAGCAGACTCTAGGCAAATTGTCTTGTCTGACCTGGACATACATTCCATGGAACATGTGTCAACACACAAATGTTTAAAAGAAAAAAGCCAGTTCCAATTGGAAACTAAGCAGGAAATACCACAGTATATTTAAAAGTGAAAACCAAAAACATACCTACTAGGTGCTGTCCACTAATGTGCACAGGCCCTGAACCACACTTCAACCTTAAGACCACAGGTGGTGTAATTTCAAAGCCCCCAAGAGAAACCTAAAAATGAGCAATGTTCAATCATTAAACATTGTGCAGAATATTTTACACCAAGTATCACCAGCAAACTTATACATCAATAAACCTATTTAGAAGCAGCACAAAATCTCAGTCACAGATGTAGCTTTTTGAAGCATCTTTGTGCATCTTAAATTAGTCTTAAGAGACCCAATGTGAAATCCCATGTTTAAAAATGTACTTACTGTTGGTTGTACAGACATTTTCAAAGTTGCCAGTGTTACTTTAATTGGACTGCCTTCATAGTTCATTGCTTCTGCCTCTACGATGTGTAATTCGTCTTTTGCCCCTGCCCCTAAACTAACCTGTGAACGAAAAGATACTTTCAAGTCCCCGCTGTTCATGAATACTCTTCAAAATTTTAATTAGCCTTTCCCCACTATTGATAGATAACTAATCATCTCATTTAATATGCTTGAGAGGGTTGGGGGTTGGGGATTTAGCTCAGTGGTGGAGCGCTTGCCTAGCAAGCACAAGGCCCTGGGTTTGATCCTCAGCGCCCCCCCCCAAAAGAAAGAAAATATACTTGATGCCCCATTCTTTGTTACCAGTCCATACCTAAGCTACATAAAAAAAAAACTCAGTTATAAAAATTTTCCAGAAGTTAAGAAAGCACGAACTCCTGACATAAATCACAACAGTAAGAACCCAGTGGCTATAATTTAATGGCTAAATAGTTTCAAAGTTTAAGTACCGTTCTTAGTGATAACTGGTGCTCATTCTCATCATTATCCACCTTAAAGTGATAATCCTTGTCAGCTTTTAGTTCACAACCTGTAAAAAAATAAAGCAAACCTAGCAAAGAGATGAACATCAATCGCTAACTCACCTACTTTTTCAACTAAACAAAGTTCCGTGGATTCCTCTCCACACACAAAGCCCATAAAAGTTCTGTTTTCTCATAGTATATTTCATTGTCAACAATGAATGAGGCACCATTACCATTTTTCAAAGTAGGTTCAATGTCCTAAAAGAGCTAAACACAACATACCATTATTTCTTACTATTTTCACAAAGCCAATTTATCTACGTTCTGAAGGAAATTATTCCAACTAAGAGTGGTCACACATCACCACAGGGAAAGCTTACGTGTAGCTATCTAGAATGGCTAGGTATAAAGCCTTTATGCTTAGTGTGGACTAAACATGGGGGAAGGGATTGTTTTAAACTTTAATGTGATGTATTTAAAAAAAAACACAACTGTTACTGCCATAGTTTGCTGCTGTAAACGAATCTCAACATAGCTAATAAGCCAAATCGTGAGTCACTGAAAACCAAAATAAGACTGCGGTGGCAGTGTTCAGGTGGGATCCCCAGAAGCCCAGGTTCCAAAGTTAACCTCAGATCTGCTCAACAAAGCAGTTCTCTCTCCCCGACCCCAACAACAAAAACAAAAAAAATCACCAGTTCTAGAGAAAAGGATGGTTTCGATTTAGTGATACTCTTTCACATCAAGTTACTTCAACCATCAGTACAGTCATCTGCAGGGTAGGAATGACTCCACCTACCGCAGAGGCAGAAAGGGGTCTCTAAAAATCACCACCATCACGGTGGATGCTAAAAGATTTGAACAAAGACCTTCAAAATCAATACTTAAGCATTTCCCGCCCAGCACACTCAACTAAGCCGCAAGACCCCACGGCTCAGGCTTGACAAGACACCGAGAGAGCCCGGATGTAGAGCCCACACCCCCCTCCCTCCCCCCAACCACGTGGCAACCACGTGTTCCCAGGGGTTGCGGCCCCCTCCGCAGCAGGGTGCCTGCTGGGCCGAGTCCCTGATAGTGGCCGAACCCCCTGGATGTACCCGAGTGCAGCCGAGGCCCGGGGAAAGCCCAGCGGACTGCACATGTGGCGTCCCACCAAGGCGACGCAGGCCTCTCTTTAGAGTCACCATTCGCCCGGGCCACCCGCCTGGGGCCCGGCCATGAAAACGAGCTGCCTGGAGGCAAATCCTGCGGACTTCTCCACGCTCGAGGATGAAGTGCCGCCGCAGCCCCTGCTGGCGCCGCAAACAAGTTCGCACCCTCGGCCGACCGACCTCCCAACGCCCGAGGCTCGAGCCTGGGCCGCTCCCGCCCTAAGTTACGGCCGCTCTCAGCCTCCGGGCCTCGATTTTCCCATCCCGGTCCCGCGGCCCAGGCGGTTCCTCCCAGCCCTCCGGCCTCCACCCACGCCGCGTCCTCCACACGCCAGGCCTCGGCTGGACTCCCGCCCCCCCCAACCACCAGGCCCTGCCCAAGCCCTCCCCGCCAGGCAGTTACCGAAAAGGTAGTTCTGAGGCCTGAGAGGGCTCATGTCCATGTCCATCGAATCTTCCATGAGGTGGAGGCGCGCACTTCGGTGTGAGAGAAGTCGGACGGAGGAAACTGCCTTCTGCTCCTCAGAACAGACACGCAGGACGGAATCACGCCAGGGAAAGGACGCGGGCTCGCCACACGTATATATGGCCGCAGGAAATCTCGCGAGATCCGCGCTAGTCCCGCCTCCGCGAGCGAGCTCCGGATCCCCTACTTCCCGCACCGTCGCGCTCTTGCGCAAGCGCACTCCTACCCCAAGCCCCTCTACCTCGCCCCCCCACCTCCTCCAGGTGCTTGGCGGGCTCGCAATGCGCACGCGCGTTGGCTCCTGGCCCCGCCCCTCCAGCGCAGCCGCCTTAGCGCAGGCGCGCTTTCCTTTTGTAGCGCACTCCCGGCCTCCAATGCTTCCACGTCTTCTGGGCCTCTGCACGCGGGCGCTGTGCGGAGAGGCTGCGCAGCCCACCCTGGAAGATGGCGGCTGCCAGCAGGGAACCAGACAGCGGCTCCCTTCTCTTTTCTCCGCCCTCCGGTTCCCCGGAGACCTGCAACAGCCATCATCTCAGGGTTTGACCTCCTCGAAGGCTTGATTTTAGTTCATCTTTTTTCCATAGAGCTTCAGGAACCAAAGGCAGAGTGGACCAGTCATTGAGGAGAATGATTCTCTGCTTGCCACTAGTCAGCCATGCTTTTTGTGTCTTTTCTGAGGCAGCGTCTCCAAAGTCTAAGTTCTCAGCTTTACGTCATTTGGGGACCAAAGGGGGCCCGAGTCAGTCACCTCCAAAGAGCATCTTTCGAAAAGTTTAGAAGAATGTGCAGAATTGAGAACACGCAAGTCATCTTCATCATTCCAAGTGAAAACATAAGACTTTTAAGAAATACAGGAGCCTTAATTTGAATCTTTGGCTGGGAATTAGTGTTTTAAACTGCACCCTGACAAACGTCCCTCACCACAAGTGAACAGAATTTGGCCATTCAAAATGAGAAAGCATCTAGTCTAGGTGCAAGAGGATGTTCTTTGAGCCAGTAGGGGTCAAAGTTAAGTACTTCATTGTTTCCTAGATTCTCCCCTTCCGAGCAGTGGTGGCCCACACTTTTAATCCCTGCATCCTAGATTCCCGATTTCCGAGCAGTAGTGACCCATGCCTTTCCTCTGGAGGTGGAAGCAGGCTGATCTCAGAGATCAAGGCCAGCCTGGTCTACAGAGCAAGTTTCAGGACACCCAGGGGTACACAGATAAAACTGTCTCAAAAAGCCAAAACATAAATAAATAAAGGAAATGCAACTCACGCAGATACTGAACTATTTGGGAGCTATCATTAATGTAAATTAACACACTTGAAACATTTCAGGATCCTTGTCTAAATATACACTCATGGAATTGAGAGAATAGGAATTACAACGACTTCCTCTTAGGCAGACAAATAGGGAGAGGACAAGGCAAGATAATAAAGGTGTCAATCTCCAAGATGGCCAGCTTCTTCCTTAACCTCCTAACTTGACCTCCTACAAGCCTTTTGTCTCTTCCTGGTGACAGACAGGCTCAACAAGTCTGTGGCTGGCCAATCAGCACATCCTAACTTTCTTCAAACTGACCAACTCTAGATTAGGGGAGGGAAACTCGTCAGAGACTTAGAACCCTAACCCTGAAGAAGAGGCTGGGTTTTCCAGCTTCACAGGCAGTCTTCACACTGTGTGGCTCTGCATGTGTATGCCTCCTCACCCCCAGGAAGCCCACCACCCACTGCTGAGCCTTTCTGCAAAGTTTTAGAGTTCTCTTGCAATTCAGATTTTTCCTGCCTTTAATTCTTTTTTGTTTGTTTCTTTGTTTTGTTTTCCAAGACAGGGTTTCTCTGTGTAGCTTTGGTACCTTTCCTGGAACTCACTCTGTAGCCCAGACTGGCCTCAAACTCACAGAGATCCGCCTGCCTCTGCTTTCCCAAGTGCTGGGATTAAAGGCGTGCGCCACCACCGCCCGGCCTGCCTTTACTTCTTTAACTGGCAGAGAAAATGAACCTAATCAAGACCCCTACACTGTATCAGAATCAAGTATTTGTTTTGTTTTTTAAAAATGTGTTTTTAAGCCAACCTTAAAAATGGTGGTGCAAGCCTTTAATACCAGCACTTGGGAGGCAGAGGCAGGTGGATCTCTAGTTCTGGGCCAGCCTGGTCTACAAATCGAGTTCCCGGACAACCAGGGCTGCAGAGAAAAACCCTGTCTCGAAAACCAAACAAAACCTGTGTTTTTAAGATAACCATACATGAATGTTTACTGTCTTTTTCATTGCAATTATATAGGCCTATGCAAATTGAAAAAAATACACACACACACACACACACACACACACACACACACACACACACACACATACCCCTTTCTATCACTCAGTTTCCATTTCCTTGGGTTAACCACAGAATAATTGTAGAAATATCCCTCCACATTTATTTAAAGGTAGCATATATACAAACAAAGAAATACAGGCTTGGAGGCTTTGTGTGTGTGTGTGTGTTCTTTTTTGGTTTTGTTTTGTTTGTTTGTTTTTCTGAGACAGGGTTTCTCTGTTTAACAGCTCTGCTGTCCTGGAACTCACTCTACTGTAGACCAGGCTGGCCTTGAACTTACAAAGATCTGCCTGTCTCTGCCTCCCAAGTGCTAGGATTAAAAAGTGCACCACCACCATCCCACTTTTGCGTGTATTTTGATGTGGCTGAGTATTGTTCAACTTGCTTTTGTTATTTATTTATTTACTTTCTTACTTAATTAGGATTTTATTCTTGGTTGGATTGATGCAACAAGGTCTCCTGAATCCCAGGCTGGACTCTAACTTCCTGTGGAGCAGTAGATGATCTTGAACCTGCCACCACCTCTCAAATGGTAGAATTACAGGTTTGCACTACCACAGCCTAGTATGTTGTTCTGGACAGTCACCACACGTTCTTTTTTTTTTTTTTTGGTTTTTTCGAGTCAGGGTTTCTCTGTGTAGCTTTGTGCCTTTCCTGGAACTCGCTCTGTAGACCAGGCTTGGCCTCGAACTCACAGAGATCCGCCTGCCTCTGCTTTCCCAAGTGCTGGGATTAAAGGTGTGCCGCCGCCGCCGCCGCCGCCACCACCACCGCCCGGCCTTCACCACACATTCTTACCCAATATGAATATGCTATAATTCAACTGCTCATTCCTCTATTAGTAGCCTAAAATTGTATCAATTTTCCTCTTATTAAAAATAGTGTCAGGGCTGGAGAGGTGGTCTAGTGGTTAAGAGCACTGACTGCTCTTTCAGAGGACCCAGGTTCAATTCCCAGCACCCACATGGCAGCTCACAACTGTCTGTAACTCCAGTTCCAGGGGACTGACACCCTCACACAGGCAAAACAACAATGCACAATAAATAAATAAATTTAAAAAAAAAAGAAATAAGGTTGGCCTTGGGGGCTGGAGAGATGGCTCAGAGGTTAAGAGCACCGACTGCTCTTCCAGAGGTCCTGAGTTCAATTCCCAACACCCACATGGTGGCTTACAACCATCTGTAATGAGATCTAGTACCTCTTCTGTATATACAATAAATAAATAAATCTTAAAAAAAAATGTGTAAAAAAGTAAAAAAAAAAAAAGTGTCAACAGGCATAGTGGTGCACACCTTTAATCCCAGCCCTCAGGAGGCAGACAGGTGGATCTCTGTAAGTTTAGTTACAGGACGGCTAGGGCTGTTATACAGAGAAACCCTGTCTTGGGAGAAAAAAAAATTAATTATATATATATATATATATCATGTCTTAACAGACAGAGCTCTATGAGTTTGAGGCCAACCTGGTCTACATAGTGAGTTCCAGGACAGCCAAAGTTACATAGTGACATCTTGTCTCAAAAAACAAAAGAAAAACAAAGTCAAATTGTACCTTAGTAGATATCTTTGTACACATATCCTTATGAATATCTGAACACAGCTTCATATGATGCAGTCTCAGAAATGGACTTGTACAGAATTGACAAATGAGCTTGCATCAAAATAAAAATTGTCTGCACAGCAAAGGCCACACAATTACCAGATCAGAGAAACACCTCACAGAATGAAAGAAAATGTTTGCCAGCTTTTCATCAGACAAACAATAAATCTCCCAAATATATAAAAACTAAAAAAGACCTTAATAAAAATAGGTTAATTAAAATGAATGCGTTATCTAAATGGATATTTCTCAAAGGAAGAAATATAAATAATAAATATATGAAAATGCTCAGTATCATTAACCATTGAGGAAATACAAATCTAAATCACAAGGAGAGTCTCTTAACTCCAGTTAGAATATCTATTGTAAAAAAAAAATTAATGTAGGTGAAGATATAGGCAAAATGAACATTTATATATATTTTTTGGGAATGTAAATTAGTAGAGTCACTAAGGAAATCTGAAGGTTCCTCAAAAATAAATTTACAGTGATTTAGTTGCACCACTCTGGGGTATATGTTTGAAGGAGCCCGAAACGTCTCTTCGTCTTTTGCCCTTCTCTTAGCATTTTAAAATAAAATATTGACTCTCTGTTCTCCATCTGAGCTACAGCCCCCACAGTCTAAGATTTATTTTTCACCTTACACTGACTTAGGGGAGGAGTTTCTTACTGGGGACACAATCTTTTCCCATTCCTGTGGTTTGTAAGTACTCTCCCAGCCTGTAACTTGCTATTTCACTCTCTGGACAGCTTTTGATGTTCTTGTTTCTATTAACAATACCTTGTGAAGAGCCAGGCATGGTGGTGCGCGCCTTTAATCCCAGCACTAAGGAGGTAGAGGCAGGCGGATCTCTGTGTGTTCGAGGCCAGCCTGGTCAGCCAGGGCTATGTAGAGAGATCCTGTATAAGAACAACAAACAAACAAACAATGACAAAACAAAAACTTTTGAATGATGGAAGCTTTTCATTTTGAGTTTTTCGTTGTTTTTGTCTTGTTTTGTTTTGTTTTTGTCCTCTTTGGGACAAGGTATGTAGCCCTGACTGACCTGGAATTCTCTGTGTAGACCAGGCTGGGCTTGCACTGGCCTGGAGCTTCCTGCCTCTGCCTCCCCAGTATCGAGACTACAGATTTGTGCCACTATGCCTAGAACAACAACAACAACAACAACAACAACAACAACAACAACAACAACAAAACCCAACTTTGCTTAGCCAAAACACAAGAAAAATTCTCTCTCTC